TCTAGGAATCAAGACTGGTGGATGTCTCTCACCAGTAGCTTCCCTGCCTCCCCTCTCTTAGTCTCATGCCCCACCCCATTTTCTGCCGCTTACACCCACTCCATTCCACCTGCCACACACCTGCCAATTGTCGAGCCCCGTGGTCTCACCTTGCATCTAGAGCATCCTGGCTAATATGCCATCTAAATACCAGTCTTAGGAATCGTCGCTAACACGGGACCTTCCCAGGCCCACATGGCCACACTCATTGCTCACTGCTCTGGCCTTTTAACTTGGTGTTTTCATTTATCTTGACATAACACAGGGATTAAGAGTGGAATTTTGGAGTCAGGCCACCTATATGTGGACCCAGGCTCCACTAATGGTGCCTGGGATGTGTTAAGCAAGTTACTTAAACTCTCTGTTCTTTGCTTACTGGTGTACGGTGGAAATGATAATTCTGCCTACTTCAAAGAGCATTTGGGATGGTTAGGGAGTCATCTATATATAAATACTTTAGAGCAGTGCCTGGGACACAGAAAGCTCTCCATGTCTAATACTTTTACTTATGTGTTCCCACCTTAATAACTAAATAGTAAATTCTTAAAAGGCAGGAACTTCAGCCAAGCACGTTACAAACACATACATGAAAAGAGTCACACACCGGTGGCGTGGATTGCTTTAAGTTGGATGAGCAAAGTCAGTTTTTCATAATTTGTGGCTGATTTCAGATACTGCCTTTGTTTTTGCCCTCTCCTTTCCCGGGGTGTGCCACGGTTCCTTTGTCATGCGCACTAGAGTGATTGCGCCCTCTCAGTGTAAGTGCTAGAGCTCTTTACTTCCAGCAACAGAGCAGACTCCAGTTGACAAAAGTGGGGGGGGGGTGTGTGGAGAGGAGACGATCTGGAGGGAAACCCCTGACATCATAAACTGGAGGGACAGTCTAGAGATGGAGGCTAGGAATGGCACCCCCAGAGTCTAGGTGGAATGGTGGTCTCATGGCCATGTTGGAATGACGCCCACTTGGGCCAATGCTCTGTTCCAAATTCCTCCTCAGCATCACGCACACTGGACTGTAATCCCCGTACTTGGGAGGTGTGGAGGCAGGAGGATTAGAAACTCACAGTCACCCCAAGCTCCATAGTGAAGCAGGTTTAGGATACATTAGACCCCCTGTTCACCCACCAGTGCCTTACCCTCAAAAGCTGTATTTATACCACAATTACAACCATGGAAAAATATGCTGAGAATGAAAAGATACATAAAAGAAAGAAAATACATAAAGATGAGTGCAGTTTTATTAGAGTGGCACATTTATGATTGTAAACTGTAAATTAGTAATTAAAAGTAATTGCACAGATACACACCTAGGAGGAAAACTAGCTGATCCCCCTGGCTATAGCACCCTGGAAAGGGGCAGGCAGAGAAAGTGAGAGTGGGCTCTATCTGCTTAGACCTCCTCTCCCTTAAGACATCAGCTTAACTGGGCAAGGCAGAACTGTAGTGTTCGGCACACCCCTGAGTTCTCTGTGCTCCTGGAGTAGATGGGTAGATTGTCTCACTCCTAATCACCTTCATCTTTGCTGCCAAGAACTTCAAGCTCATGAGGTGGGCAAGATGTCAGCCCTGTGGCAGCTTCTATTGCCCTAAAAATAAGTAGTTTGATGTCTTGGGCAGGGTGTGGCAGGGATCTGCCGCTGATCAGGGCACAAGAGCAGTGCTCATTCCTGCGTATTCTAACCCAAAAGCTCAAAGGGAAAGGGAGCAGAGTTGGTTCTTCTCTTAGCCCGGAGGCTATAACGATCACCTAACTCTCTGCCATTGGTAGCTACAGTACGCCTACACACAGTGGAGGCCACAGGAACGCACAAGTAGCATGCTCAATGCCACAGTGGATGGCTGCACAGTTCAGTTCCCTTTCCTTGGGGGGTGAGTCTACAGCACAGCTGTTACTGTGTGACCTGCCTTGCCGGCAGCAGGTACATGGAGATGTCTGCAAATCACAAGTCTTGGGATCCTTGGCACCTGCCCTTTCCAGTCGGCCCTGATTCCCCCGAGAGTCTATACTTTGCCCTATCTTTTGAAATATGCTCTTCCCAACCTTCTGCTCTCTGCTTGAACATGCTAATACAGGACTGAGCATGACAGATGGGCGTTGTCTCCTTAAAGGGTCCTAGGTCATGAGGTGACAATGACAATACACTAATCCAGTTCAACATAGCCTCTCCTGAGCTCACTAGAGCCATCTTCCTAGGAGAACATCCCACTGTCTGCCCTTTCTCTGCAGGGGAAGATGGCGTTTTGACCAGTCACTCACGTCTTTGAATAAAACTCTGCAGTGGCTTTTCCCCATTGGCTTGTCTTGAGCTGCTGTTTCAACAATGCCTTAAACTGGGAGGCTAATGTGATAGAGATTTCTCTCAAATTTCTGGAGGTTAAGTCTGAGATCAGGATGCCAGCAGGGTTGGGTCTCGGTGACTATAAACACTTTCTGGTTTACAGTTGTCTTTGTGCTGTGCCCTCACCGAGGGTAAAAGGTTTGAGCTCACTTCCAAGACTTGAAATCCCACCAATCCCTGAGCTTGCCCCAAGCTCAGAACTTGAAATCCCACCAATCCCCACCATAGAAAACTCATTGCTCCCCCACCCTAAGGAACCCTTTATAAAACCTGCCACTTGCTCAGTTCTTTGCTGCTTTTCATCCAAGCAGAGGCAGCTATCTTTGTTTTTCCCAATAAATCTCTCCTGTGAGGTTTGCTGTACCCTGTGACTTTGTAGTGTCCCTTAGCTCCCAACTGTCAGGATAGCTTTCCCGTCAGAGCTCTAACACTTGGAGGAAGGGCTACCCAGCTTCCTTTCATTCTTCATATGGTGCATCATAGGGCTTTACTCTAATGACCCCATTTGCCTCCCAAAGGCCCTATCTGAAGACTGCATTTGGATAAAGTCTTCAATATGGATTTTAGGGCAATATAAACATTGTCTATTGCACTGATTCTCAATGTAAAACCTCAAATTGCTGGAAATAGAGGCATACTCTATTAATTCCAGCACTTGGAAGATGGAGACGCAAATGGATCAGGAGTTCAGTCATTCTCAGCTATACAGAGTTTGAGACCAGCCTGGGGGAATGTGAGATCTTGCCTTTAAAAACAAGGGGGGGGGGGTATGGGGAAATTACTCAGCAGGTTATATCAGTCGCTATGAAAGGCTGACAACTCAAGGTTGGTTCCTGGAACCCATGTATCCTACACCAAGATGGGAGGCAGAGACAGGAAAATTACCCAGAAGCCTGAGGGTATGTCACACAACAGAAACTACTAAGACCCTGGTTCAACAAAGAAATAATGACTCACCCTCAAAAGTTGTCATCTGACCCATATAAGCACAAACATGCCTGCATTCACACTCACACATACTTTTTTTTTAGATCTAAAATTGTAATTGCTTGTGACAGTATACATTTGTGATCCCAGCACTCTGGAGACTGTGGCAGGAATTCGAAGTTTGAGGCCAGTGTGAGCTACAAATAAACAAATAAACAAATAAACAAATATGAGCTGGGCAGTGTTGGCGCACATCTTTAATCCCAGCACTTGGGAGGTAGACACAGATGGATCTATATAGTGAGTTCCAGGACATCCAGGGCTGTTACACAAACAAATCTTGCCCCGATAGACAGACAGATAGGAATTGGTGAAGCCCTTTCAGGTTCTTGCTCCAGTTCCTCTTGCTAGCTCCTGTCTGGAGATATCCTCGTCCTCTGAGTAGCATTCTTGGGGAAAGAGTTGCAGAATCACTCTTGCGAGCTTCCCCTTTCTCTGGCCTTAATTAGGTATCTTGGTTTTGATTTAAAGAGCATTTGCTCTTTTCCTTTGTAGCCATCAGCAGAGCTTTGGCTAGCTGCCCCTTGTTATCTGCAGGAGACTGGTTGTAGGGTTCCCAAGATCCACCTATGCTCCTCTTTTATATAAAATGGCCTAGTATTGCATGTAATCCATTCATATGATTCGTATGTTTTAAATAAACTATATAGGCTGGAGAGATGGCTCAGTGGCTAAGAGCACTGGCTGCATTTCCAGAGGTCCTGGGTTCAATTCCCAGCAACCAGATGATGGTTTACAACCATCTATAATGAGATCTGGTGCCCTCTTCTGGTCTTCAGGTATACTTGCAAACAGAACACTGTATACATAATAATAAATTTAAATAATCTATATTATAATATTTAATACAGTGGAAATAATTACTACAGTGTGTCTTAAATTTGTGGTAGCTTTTACTGATTTTTTTTCTGAATCCCTTGGCTTTTTAAGCCTCCCAAGTGCTAGGACTATAGTTAAATGTCACCATGTCCAGCTTTGTAATCAAATGCTCTCAACCGGCAGGCACAGATGGCTAAGTATACACACTATGGTGACTTTGTGCAATGTCTGTCTACCACAGTGTTCCATTATGGGTAGGGTCTGTCTCCACTAGCAATTGCTCTCTGCTAGAGGCCACAGACTTCTACAAAAATTGATATATAGTGGGTACCTTAATATTTGGTGAAGAAACTGACAGGGCCCCGGACAACTGAGAGAACTTAACCTTGTGTGGGAATGGGAGAAATGAAAAACAGTCAACACACTTGATGACAGGTGGGAAGGACACGTGACCTGATTCACAGGAAGTCAAAGACAACTAGCTTTCAAATTTGAGCCATCAATGGTTAGGTTTGTAGAGATAAATGTTGGCTTTAGATAGTGGTAGGAGACCATAACTAGACATGTAAGGAGCCACGTGTATAGTGCACTGTGTTGTGTACCTATCGTCCCAGCATTAGGAGAACAGAGGACAGGAAGATTCCAAGTTTGAGGCCAGACTGAGAAACACAGTGAGACCCTGTCTTTAAAAACCAACAATGATAACAACAATGAAACAACTAACAAAAACCAGTCACTTAGTTTTCAAACATGGCTGCTTTTCAGTGGATGTACAATAGCATTCCAGTAGGCAAGACAGGTAAACAAAAGGCAGGATTTCATGTCCTTAGTTTATTAAAGATGACCATGAACTGTTAGGATGTACACAAATTACAGCAGGTGAAAATCCAGTTCAAGACATATATTGTACACAAACAGATGTCTTGCTCCTTTTCTGTTAGTTCAGCCAAAGCTCTTAACCCTTGGCAGAAGGAATTGGTAAGAGGCTTGTAAAAGCAGAGCTCCAGGTTTCCATGCCTCTCAGCGCCTTGAGCTTATCTCCACCTCAGGAGCAAATGCTTCCCTTTGTACAGAGAGGATGCTTCCCTCAGGCCTCCTCCAGCAAGCTCTTTTCAGTGCATTCAGAACCTCCACAGCAGGGGACTGTCAGATACTGTCAAGTGACAAAGTGCTTTCACAACATCCCCTCTGTCCCTCTTCCCACTCCCAAATAAATAAACACAGTATTTGGACATAACGACAGCACAGAATTGGGGCACATGACCTAGAGGGGTGGGGAGGTGGGAAACACTGAAACTCAGTGGGATGGCCAAGGCCAGCAAGAGTCTGTGTTGACAGGAAGTGTGGGCGTGGCAGTCTCCTCCAGTGTGGTGGCTTAGAGTGAGCAGCTGGAAGTCAGCCACAAACTGGAATCCGAGATCTGACTCAGCGACACTTGAGTTTGAAGGGCTCATTCCTAAATCTCCCTGAAGGAAGGGGTTTTCTAACCAGCCCTTCAAAGTGGCCCTGGCCTCAGCCTTCTGTCTCACCGCCAACTGAGAGAAGAGCCCTAGTCACCCTGTCCAATGCTGTTGTCAGCTCCCAAATGTGAGGCAGAAGAACTGCACCATGGGCCAGTTCTGACATGTTGCCCTTGCTCTGCCAGAGCTCAGTGTGGCTGTGACATCAGCGTCCCTTCTGTCTTTCAGGGAGACCCCTTGTTCCCTCCAGCTCAGAACCTTCCAGCTTCCACCAACCATGCACTACTTTGGCTTCTTGGGGAAGTGCTTGGGCCAATTACTTCACTAGCAACCAAGCACAGGAAGACAGGTACATGGAAGAAATCAGTTCTAGAACAAAAGCACTGTGGACATGTTCCCAGAACCGCCAGGATCTGAGATGCAACCTGACCAGTGCTTACAGAGGTTAGGCACTGCAGCAAGTGTCTGGCTTAGTCTAGGAAACTCCATAAAATGCACATTAAGTGATGGGGGTGGTCTATTAAAATTAGTAATAGGAACAGATGATTTAACATACATTACTGATGCTGAAGAGTTAAGTGCATAAATGGCATAAAGGCTCCTGTTTCTCGGAACAAACAGAAACATTCACAAACTTTCGAGTTCTCCAATGCTACTAAGTGGGCAGGCTTCTCCCAACTGTGGAAAGAACCTAAGGCAAGAGATCAGCCAACGGGAGGGCCCCGGCTGTGCTGGGGGAAGGGAACAGAGAATGGAGTTGGGTCACACCTTTACTTAGATCCAGAAAGGTCACATAATCATACAGAGCAATAAGGGACCCACTATTAAGATGGTGGGTGGGGTTTCTATCCTCGCCTTAGGTTGGCATGAGGGACTTGTCTGAGCTTGAAGCACACCTGCACTCAAGTAGTTAACTTGGACACTGAACACCCAAGAGGCGACCATTATCCTTTATCTGAATAAATGCTCCACAGGCACCAGCTACAGCCTCACTTATGTGTGTGGTGCTGGCTACAAATGGGCCTGGCTCTGCTCTTTGCTTCAAGACCATCAGAGTACACAAGCCAGTTTGTATCCGCCGATGCCTGGTATTCTTGAACAGGGAAGTCATGCTTGCCTCCTTGAGGTCTCCAAGGGTTCTAAAATATTAACGACTGTGCTCATACCTGTCCCTCAGTGCCTATGTAGGCTGGATGGAATGCCCACTGTGCAGCCCCATTCTCTTCCCGGCCTCAGGGCACAGTCTTGTTCTCTTCGGGACTGGGGCAGGAAAATCCCATTCCCCTGTCTCAGCAGCAAAGAGGGAGGAAGACCACTGCCTGAGATAGGCCTGGCTCAGAAGCTGGAGAATTAAGTCAAGAGTAGGAATGAGCCTTGAGCTGTAGCTGCAACCAGATCTGGTCTTATGGGTACAGGCCAAGCATGTCAAAGAACTGGGTCCCGCTCGCTGTCCACTCCCCTGACAAGAGGCACTCCAAGTAGCAGTTCTGATGGAAATACCCAATGCACACAGATATCTGTCACAACAGACTGGACCCATCAACCAATAAAGGTTGCCTACACCTGGACAGCAGACAAGTCATAAAAAAAATGCCAATATATATATTTTAAAAGGCCCTATCACCTTCCTTGAAGGTGTGGCTCAGTTCTGTATCGTTTGACAGTAGCCAGCCCCTTAGACAAAGGGTTAGGTCCTTTCCTCAGGTGGTCTCCAGGATGGTAGCCTCTAGAGCCAAGGCTTCCGTGGGTTCCTCCTCGTAGTCAGACAGGTAGGACTCAAGGCTCTGCTTGGTCAGCAACTCCCGCCGGGCCTGTAGCCGCTCACACCGGGGGCAGCTTCCAGACTTGAAGCAAGCTTTATGGTAACATGCTTTACACTCTAGTCAGGTTGAAAAGAGAGAGAAGAAAATGATTCGTATTATCAGGCTAGAAGCAAGTTACCACCTCAGCCTTTCCTCCCCATAGCTTGTATTCTGGCAGTGGTGGAGTATGGAGTTACACCATACTCTTGCTAATAGAGAACTCTCAGGTAATACATTCACTTGGTATCCAGCTTTGCTTGTCTCAATGCTAGCATCCATCCTCACCTTCACAGGTACGGCACTTATGTAGCTCAAAAGGAAAGATGATGTCATCCTCATTCTGGCAGAACTCACAGATGAAGCCCTTGGCTTGGCACAGCTATGGAGGAGAGTAGGTAGCAAAGTGAGGGACTGGCCCAGAAGGGAGGACTCGGTGAGGGGGAGCAAACCATAACGACCACTTTGAGCAGGGTGAAGGGGTCTATTGTCTACAGTGTAGAGCCTAGCACTGGACTTGCAAGCATGTGAGCCAGGTACCATCACACAAAACTTAAGGAAAGGATAAGGGGGACACAGGCTTGAGAAGCATTTGCCTCTCAGCCAAGAGGCAAGGAGGAAGGGTGGTACTGAGAAGAGGGTCCTAAAGTCTGTAATCCAGTCTGGGTATCAGTGTTATCTTGAAACAATACCACTAGTGATTGAGATAAAAGGAAAAGTCAAGACTGTTTTCCGAAATAATACCTTCTAGTCAGATTCACACCTTCATCCTCACCCCACCACAGGCTCACAAACTGGGCAGCTGAGATGGGCAGATCTAAAAGCATCATTCCTGAATTTCTAGCATGTTAATGCCATCATGAACTGTAATAAGTTACATTTGTAAATAGGAGTTACAAAAATGCTATCAAATAAGCTGTTCCATCAAACCTCAGAAGCTCAAGGGGAAAGAACAGTTCATCTAAGTATTACCTTCATTTCAGATAGGAGAAAACTGAGGCTTACACAGCAAACTGTTTGAACTATGGTTGACAATAAGTCTAGATTCTGGGCAAAGGTCCTCCCCTAGTGTTCGCTCCTTCAGTGAAAGGGCAACACCAGCATCAACTCCTGTCCCATCCTTTTTGTGTTCTTGTTTTCTGGAGATGGGTTCTTGTTACATGGTCCAGGCTAACTCTGAACTCATAGTCCCCCTGCCTCAGTGCCCAGTATTTTCCCTCTAACTGCTCATTCATTCAGCCAACAGCAAGCCCTCTGGTTTCTCTCTCAGTACCAACTGGCCATATCAAGCTAAATGTCAAGAGCCCTGCCCCACCACTAAGCCCTCCCCCCCCCCAGCAAGGGCTCAGCTGCATGGCAAAGCACAGCCTCCTCCTCACCATGCATCTCTCTACGTGAGCAGTTCCTGCTCTGGTGAGCTCAGCCAGCCGGGGCCCCAGCTCCCCCTTCTTGGTAGCAGTCAGGTCGTTCAGTGAGTACAAGTGGAGATCCTCTGTCAGGTGGCCTGGAACTACGTCAAAGGAATCCAAAAGCCTACAGGAAATGAGAGGCTGTGGAGAGGGTGCCAGTGCAAAAAATCCTTACTCAGCAGGAGAGAAGCTCATGAGGGTGGGCAGCATTCAGCCAGCCCAGGTATCCTGGCTACCCCAGCTTCCCCACACCAGGTACCTGGAGGACAGAAGTGTTTTATTTCCAAACCCTTTAGAGTGAGCTTGGGAAGTGGTGTCTGGCCCTGGATAGACAGTCCCCCTGAGAGAGGGACACAGGTCTAATTACTGCCATGACTTCCTATTTACTACTTTAGACCCTTCCTCATGTAAAACAGAGCCAACTGTTGGGACATGTACCTCTCAGAGACAACAGGACACCAGAGGACTCTGGCCTCCACCAGACTTACTCTTTGGCCAGTCGGCAGGTCTTAAACATGTTCTTCATGTGGTACAGCTGAACCCGCAGCAGCTGGAGACAGGAGAGTGGGTGGAGGGGAGAGAAGGAGCTGTTAGAGGGGCCAGCAGGTGCCCTAACACTCTGCATGTAGAAGCCAGAGCTGGACTGTCCTACACCTCTCGTTCAACAACTCACTCCAAGTGATCTCAGGCCAGGGAAGGCCCTTCTGCCAGGTCCGGCTGCTCACTCAGACACACCAGCAGCCACCGAGAACTCTGGGATTCCAATCCCCACTCCTGTGCTCAGTGAGTGTAGAAACTGTTCTCGCTTTCAAGTGCTATCTACATCCCTAATGCGCCTTCCAGGCTTGGGACTGGCAGGACAATGCCCGAGGCTGTGGAAGTGTAGCTCAGTAGAGGGTGGTAGGTGGTCGAGGGCCTTGCTAGCACTATGGGTATTGTGCTGGGCTCCAACCCCAGCACTGGACAACAGACCAACAAGAAAATACACAGAACATGAATGGTGACTGTGACAAGAAGTGTGGTGACCTAAGGGAACTGCACCGACAGGGGCCAGAGCCGGAGAGAAGTATGAACCTGTGATGCACCTTGTTCGGGCATCTTACCCGGACTTGATTGAGCAGCTTGACCTTCCTGTAGAGGGCGCTGTTGATGTCCTGCACATTGAAGAGGGGATCATTCCAGATCTTAATGAGCAGGTCCTTGGAGAAGTTGCTGATGCAGTACTTGCTGAAGTCCCACTTGCGCAGAACCCGGCTGGGGACGACCATCTGGGCGTTCTCGTGGCAGCACTGACAGAAGTACTTGCCCAGGTACTCACAGTACCGCAGGCGCTTGATGTAATCTAGGAAACCCACATAACCAAGGGACAGATGTAGCCTTTGCATCCAGAAGCTAGTGAGTGACTCTTCAAAAGGCAGGCAGGGAGGGCAAAGCAGCTTCTAGCCACTTCTCTGTGGATTTTCTAAAGCTGGAAAAATCCCGCTTATATGAGGTCTATGGCTCTAGTATCCCATCCTGGAGACCATCAAAGACTCCAAACCTTCCAGAGCTGATGAGACTGCTCTCTAAGAACCTGGCTGCAGGGATCCAGTGTCCCCAAGATGTGGCTCTGGGGTACTGTTTGCTGAGGTAATTCCCTACAACTGACAACTCCTGCCTAGGCCTCCTCTCTTACTCCAGGCCCTTTTTACTTCTCCCTATACCTGCTCTATCCCCTCCTCTAGATCACCTCTGACAGGACAAAGCTTTACCAGGGTCAGTCCGGATGCCACAGCCTGCACAGCGGTAATTTTGCTTGGCCACAGCAATCTTCCTCCTACAGAAAGGTGAAAGAGAGTGATTAGCAGAGCAGCTGCATATAAAGCACAGACATATAAAGGGTGAGGTACAGATTCTCATTAAGGATGGACAGCTGAGAACTTACCAATTTTCTTTTAGAGTCAGACAAAGCACATTTCTACTGGGAGAACTAATGTAAAATGAGGGTCTATGAGGTTAGAATTTATAGGGTGGGGGCCATAGCAGTGACTAAGTGATTATCCTCAATATGAACCATGTTTCTGTATAAATGCAGGGGATGAGGAATAGTAAGTAACAAGAGAAAGTCATTTACCTTAAAATGAAAATCCCAGTAAGCCCACATAGTATGAGAAGAAAGGGAACAGTCTGGAAATGCTGATTTAAAAGGCCAGGGTAGGGGTGGGAGGGTGGAGTCCAGTTAGGTGTGGGAAAGAATTAAAGGGCTAAAAGAATTTAAGAACAAAAATAAAATGAAGAATCCTCTTTTCTATGCTTTTAAATACTGTGTGGAAAGTACAACCAGAGGTAGAGACAAGAGGTAAGACAAGGAGGATGAATCCTCTGTCAAAAGACATGGCCACTGGCTACTCACGTTGGGGCTGGATGAACATTAAAAATGATCTGAGGCCGGGGTGGAGCCCATTCTAGATTGCCACGGACACGGATACGCAGCTTGTAGATGTCTGCATGCTGCCCGTCATCTGGTGAGATGGGCAGTGAGTCGGGGATAGGCAGGAGCTGCAGGAGAAAAGTGTGTGAGAGAGCTGGCCTGGACAATCTAGGGGACACATATGCTTAGCCCTCTGGCCACGACAGAAGCAGAGACAATGAAACACATTTCAGAATTACCACAGGCTGAGCCTTCAAGGAACCCTGATTAAAAACGAACTAGTAGGTACTAGGCTACTATAAGCAAGGACCTTGAGTTCTAAGAAGCAAATAGAAACATCACTGTAGAGTGCTGGCACCCACTGCTGTTGCTGCCCCCATGCTTCCCAGGGCCTTACTATACCGGCATGCCTTAAAAGATTCAACTACAGAGCCAAGAAGAGTTTGAACAACTCACTTTCACACACTGTCTTAAAGTTAGCCACAAATGAAGGAGCGGTCTGCTACGGAAAACCTAGGCAAGCAAACACTCACTCACTCACCCACCCACCCACCCACCCACCCACCCACTCACTCACTCACCACACTTTAACAAATGGTGTCCCTGAGTAAGGACGGATGCACAGGTTCACTCTAGACTGGGGCCATGTGAGAAAGAAACACGGGACCAGAAGGTGCATAGGCTGCTGGTGTGGGAGCGCGGAAGAGCCTACCTTCTGTGGGGCATCGTGCTCTGGAACCAGCCACTCTAGCTCTGAGGCAGCTGGAAGCTGCATGCCCTCAAACTGCTTCAGAAGCCCCATGGCCACTGCCTCAGCGGATGTGGAGTGCAGGAAGCAATGGGAGCTGGAAAGGAGAGAACCAAGGAGGGTTGAGCGCATGATGCCAGGAAGACAGGCGCTTCCTTTCAGGACCTGAGATCGCACACCTGAACCTTACAGCCAAGAGAACACTCGCTGCACCCAGACTCAGTTCAGTTTCTTTACTCAATGCCAGACACACATGCTGTGAAAAAAAATACTGCTGTTCTTAACTGTCCTAAGTCTGTATATATTTCACCAAGAGCACTGGTGGTACTGCAGTTAAGAGTTCTGTATTTTCCTTTCTCTAAGGTTCAGTTCCTTTCATTGCAAAGTGGACACTATACCTGTTTGTAAAAGAAGACAGTAAAACTGCTACTGCACCTCTCAGAGATGAGGTCTTTTTCCCTTGAATGGCTGCCACCAGGAAGGGCCATCACTTCAACCTTATCTCTTCTTGAAATGGGATGGCTTTCTCTGTCACCTTTCTCAAGCACGGGCCACCATCTGGGCTTGTTTGTCCACGTACCCCAAGGTTATTAAAATGAATGAAAAACTACTCACAAGGTCTGGGAGATGGAGGATCTGCCGTTTGAGACTGCACTCCTCCTGATGTCAGCATCTGCATGGAAACCAGTGATGAGGGGAGCAGGAAACGGGAAAGGAAGAGAAGCTAGGGACTTGTCACAGGGTGCTGCAGCTAAGCACTAAGGTGGCAGCTAGGAGCACATTCTACACAGGGTATGGAGACAGGTGAAGTTCTACACGCTATTTAGTCCATCTCCATCCACATCACAATCAGGTTAATTAGTGACATCATGCAGAGCACTGAGAAGGTCAGAGTGATTACAAAACAAGCGGGAAGCACCAACTCAGGCTTGGTGTAAAACAGTGAGTGGAAAAAAAAAGATCTGCAGACACATGGGACACACTCACCACAGGCACACGGGGACACACTACAGACACACGAGGACACACTCACTATAGACACACGGAGACACACTCACTACAGGCATGCAGGGACACACTCACTACAGGCACACGGGACACACTACAGGCACGCGGGGACACACTCACTACAGGCACACGGAGACACACTCACTACAGGCACACGGGGCACACTCATCACAGGCACGCGGGGACACACTCACCACAGGCACACGGGGACACACTCACTACAGGAACACGGGACACACTACAGGCACGCGGGGACACACTCACTACAGGCTCACGGAGACACACTCACTACAGGCACACGGGGCACACTCATCACAGGCACACGGGGCACACTCATCACAGGCACGCGGGGACACACTCACCACAGGCACACGGGGACACACTCACTACAGGCACACGGGACACACTCACCACAGGCACACGGGGACACACTCACTACAGGCACACGGGGACACACTCACTACAGACACACGGGGACACACTCACCACAGGCACACGGGACACACTCACTACAGGCTCACGGGGACACACTCACTACAGGCACGCGGGGACACACTCACCACAGGCACACGGGGACACACTCACCACAGGCACACGGGGACATCCCCCCCCCACCCCATCACTCTCCACTTTATTTACTGTAGAATCTCTTGCTGGCCCCAGAGATGGTTACTGGGGATCTAGCCTTTGCCTCCCATCATGTCTCACTGGCTTTTATGTGGGTTTGAGGTAAACTTTGGTTCTGATCTGTGAACTTTAAATAACTTCTCTAGATATTGGAATCTTGGTTGCAGCTACTTACATAGGACTTGGAATAGTTTTAGACTATCTATTGATGGTCTGATGTCATCATCTGCCTTTGTAAACAATCTGAGTAAGTTTTCTATTCCTTTAGCTTATTTATTTAGGGGGACTGTTTGTACTCACACATGAGTACTTGTATGCCACGGTATGTGGGTGGAGAGTGAGAAAAACTTGCAGGACTGAGTTGTCTCCATTCATCATGTGAACTCTGGGGCTAAAACTCTGGTTTTCAGGCTTGGCATAAGTCCCTTCAGCACTGCCCTCATGTGTGCTAAACTACCAAGTAACCCAAGTAACAGGGCCTTATGATATGCTCTGATGGAGGAGACAGTTCAAAAGTAGAGCAAAGAGAAACTCCTTACTTTATTACATATCTCTAAATCTTGGCCTAATCTTATATAATATTTTCAAATTCCAATGGGTCACATTATTAGCAGTAATAAACAATTCCATTAGTATTACTAAAAGTTGCAACTATGAAACTAAAAATTAGTAAATGAAATTCTGAGCTTTTGTTTTAAACTTTTTTGAGTAGGAAACTTTTATACTCTTCCAGTTAATCCTACCAACTATTTTCCTAGATGTCAAACATTATAGCAATAATCCTTAATTGTGTATGAAGTTATCTAGAAGAGATTTACTTCCTGGGAGCGTGATTGGAAAATCCCAAACTCTAAAGAGACTCTTAGCCTTATGCCATTCTGTCCTACTTGTCCTGTTTGCGGGTGCCCTGAGCTATAGGTTTGAACTTAAATCCTCCTGCAGAATGTCAGAAGAGGGTGTCAGATCTCCTGACACTAGAGTTACAGATGGCTGTGAGCTGCCCCGTGTGCATGCTGGGAACTGAGTTCTAGTCCTCTGGAAGAGCAGCAACCACTCTTAACTGCTGAGTCTTCTGTCTAGGACCTGAACTGAAGTCATTTTTTATTTTTCCCTGACATAGGGTCTCATTCTCACTATGTAGACCAGCTGGCCTTAAACTCACAGGAATCCACCTGCCAAATACTGGAATTAAAAGTGTGGGTCACCATACCTGGCTTGAACCTAAATTCTTGGAGCCCCTGGAGCTGGTTGTGAGGCACCTGATAAGGGTTCTAATAACTGAACCCAGGTCCTCTGGACAAGTCAGTGTTCTTAACTGCTGAGCCATCTCTCCAGCCCCTGAACTTAAATTCTTATTTGAGCATTTCTTTTTAAATATAACATTTATTATAAACAGCAGCAACAACAAAAAACCCAACTTGCAAATAAACCAGGTATGGTGGCACATGTCTTTCATCCCAGCATTCAGGAGGCAGAGGCAGGCAGATCTCCATGAGTTCAAGGCCAGCCTGATCTATAAAGCAAGTTCCAGGACAGTCAGAACTGTTATACAGATTAGCCCTGTCTCGAAAAACTGAAAACTAAAAACAAAACAGAATAAAACCCCCAAACAAAAAAGCAAGCAACCAACCAACCAAAACTTGCAAGTAAATAAAAACATCAAACACTAAAATTCATCAGATCCAAAGTCTACACAACTTAGTGAATTTCTATAGTTAGTAGGCATTCCAAAAGGAAGCGGAGGAGCTCCACATTAAAATTTTACTCAGTATGAAATATTTTATGCTCTTACCCACCACCAATACCAGAAAAACCCAAGACCAAAAGAACTATTTTTCCTTTTCAAGTTTTGACTATCCTTTCTAAGCTTTGACCCTGTCAGTCGCTTTACTATCTAATCTAATCTCATGTCTGTGAGGGGAGATGGCAAGGACTGCTTGAATCCTATGTAAAATGGCCTCTGAATATCTGAATTGCTCCTGCATTGTCTAGTGTTTTCCAGTTTTCTAGTCTACGTAGTTCTTCTGCAACCTTGACAAGCACCACAAGATCAAACATGTATGACAGCTGGTGCAAACATTCACACACCCGCATATAGAAGCACATCCACACTTCCAGCATGGCTACCTGAGAACATGGAGGCCATTGACACTGAGAGTCCACTCTTTGACATGTGAGTCAGGTTAGAGGCTTCACTACCATCTGTGTAATAATAATTACAAAGAGGGCCCTTTAGAAAGAAAGTTGCTGAGGCCGACAATTCCATACTACACATCCTCGGGAACAGGCTGTGACTTGTGTGCAGCTTTCAGGAACCCACATGCATGGGTAGGCTTGGAAAACAGTTACTTCCCCAAACCAGTCCAGCCTCAAACACCTCCTAAGAAGCAACCGAGGGTGATGCCAGGGCCATTACTGGCAGGTTCATGTATAGAGGCCAGAGATGATGGCAAACATCTCAATCCTCAAGCAGTCCCTCACATCAAAGAATGACAGGGCTTGGAGACTGAGAAATCCCATCCTATGGTTGTTTCCTTTAAGGGTTTTTATTCTGAACCCAAGGGAATTAGCTGATTATACACCCTTGGAGCTCACAATTGAAGCAACGGTTTCCAACAGGAGTGCACTTTGTGTACTAAGGGGCGGGGGAAGGAGTTTTAAGTTACTATTATTGTCATGGATAGAAATCAAAAACATTAGGAAGAACCAAAATCCAAGTTCCTCTGGGCCTGTAAAAGTTATGTAAAATCTGAACTTCTGAGTGGGAAAGCACTCTGGCTACTCAGGAGGCCCCTGAAGACTAAAACAGAAAGAAGACCTATTCCTTATCATTTTACAGTGTGATAATGGAGTACACACAGACAATTCAGCTCTACAAGAAAATCGCTTAGTTTTGCCACGTGAAGAGTTTCTCCACCTGAACTGTTTTACTAGTTGTTTGTTTCTTTGTTGGGTCCTGCAGACTCTACGGTCTGCAGTCTGGGGCTGCTGTGAAGTCTATCACTTGAGCACGATGCTGTCACTGCTACCTTGGAGTCAGGGCAGCTGATCCCTGTCTGGACTCAGGGAGACTCCTGAGGTCCAATCTACTGACATTCTTTCATACAAACTAGGTGAGAGATCACCAGACTCGCGCCTGGGTGTTCAGCCACTCATTCCCGGGCTTCCAGTAATGCTTGCAACAGCGCATATGGCCTCAGGGCAGTGCTAGACTCTCCCAGAGGTGGGAGGTGAGCTGAAGGCTAGACTCCAGCTGTGCAGCTCTTGGGAGTCTGTCACTCATGCTGGTGTGATTTCACTATTATTATTATTATTGGTGATGCAGCCTATAAGGAAACCAATAAACTCCCTGACTCACCAGGTTGGCCTCAAGACTGTTTCTTTGGTCTCCTGTCAGATGCCCCTCTGAGGTGACTAGTGATGCAAAATGAACATTAGCTTTCTCTACTACAAATCCTTCCCAGATGGCAGCCTCTCTCCTCATTGCACTGATGCTTCTAACAAGAGACCTGGGGCTCTGCCTCAAGACTGCTAAGACAAATCAAAGCTCTACTTTGTGAACCTGACTGTTTCTCCTTCTTTTGCTTCTTCTTTAATGACTCTTGTCTCCCCCCACCCCACCCCCCCACCGCCCCTAAAATTACTATAAAACTCCTTTTGGAATAATTTCAATCATGTTATGTATAGCGCACAGGGAAACATTCTAATTCATGTGGTTTGGCTCAGCCTAAAGAGCCCAAAGAAGGAAAGAGAGTGAGAACCCAAGAGAAAGATAAACACAGGAGGACTGAAAGCCAGGGTGATTTCAACAGCCAATCAGGGGCTTCCTTCCAAGTCTCATGTCTACATGGATTTTAATGGGGCTCTGTTTTTAGCAAAAGCAGCCATCCCTTACAATAACTGACAGTGTTCCTTCCACAGTGAGTCACAGTGAAGATAAGATCCACTCTGGGGGTCACTGGGCCTAACACTCCAAATTAAAAGAAATACGCAATGAATGCTCCCTACTAACAGACCGGCACTTACCTTGGATTTCAAACTCATCAACATCATCAGCAGAGCCAGAGTCTGAGAACTGTGTGGACTCATGTGAACTGAGCTGGGAGCTGCTGGAGGTGACCCGGAAGCCTGTGATAGTAAAGATGATCATCGTCACCCTCTCCACACCTCAATAAAGAGCCTAGACTTCAACAGAGCAAAGCAAATAGAACCATGGCTGGGGCTGAAGCTGCAAAGTGGAACTGGTACTTCTTGCTGGTTCATTCTACGCTGGAGAAGTTCACCTGTGACCCCTGGCCTTAGTTCTTTCTTGGAAAGCCATCTTGGAAGAACACTATCCTAATGTAGGAAACATGAGCTCTAGCAGTATTCCTAGTCTAGCATGGGAAAAATAAAAACAAAAACATGGTACCATGGTACTTCCTTCTGACAGCAGAGGAACCCTTAGCTTAGACATTACACCTCACACAAAAACCAAGACGAAACTCAGGACCCTGAGCTTTGCGATGCTGTAAAGAGGCATGCGCACACAGATGTTCACAGGCCTGACTCACTTCCATGCTCAGTCTCCTGGTATGCAGGGAGCAGGCTTTTGGTGCGGATCTGCTGGCGCCGAAGGCGGATCTTCTGCTTCAGTTCCTGGATCTCCCTGTCACTGTCTTCCTCCTCTACTTCCTCCTCCTCTAGACACTGGCTCATCATGTTGCATTTCATCAGCTCGATGGCAGCAATCAAGGACTCTGAGATGCTGAAGTGGGCATTCTCCTGGAGGAAGAAGGGCACCCAAGAAGTTGCTTGTTAAGGGACTGGAAGTACGGAACACCTTGCTGAGAGAATGCGGGGACATGCTTTCTTCAATGGAGCCACAGGGGAGATACACCAGTCTGCTATAGGAGAGCAGATAGGCAAACGGCCTGTTCGAGGATGTCTCTGCTCTTTTAGCTGGCCATGACTGTCTCCTCATCTATTCCATTCTCCATATAAAAATGGAAAGAGAATCTTAGCTGGTCAGCCCCGAGATCTCCTCAGTGACAACCTTAGTCCTCTGCACTGCTCCGTTTCCACTCAACACAACACATGAAAGAAACTATGGTTTAAAAACAGTCACCAAACTGCAAGTACAATGGTGAGAAAGGAACTGTTTGAAGAAAGCTGTGGTTCACACATCACTCACAGCAGATGACAAAGAGCTTTAGTTTCTAAAGAGGGTATGCATAAAATGGCACCCCTGATACTGAAGTGAGTATTTACACACCAAGGAACCACCTTCACAGACCTGCTGGTATCTGGCAGCAAACATTCCATTATAGCCCACTGAGAAAATGCAGGGGACAGCACCATACTGCTGTGACACTGATATATAATTCACACATTGCAACTAATTAAGCTGATGAAGCCAGGCAATCATGTTTGAAACAAGGGCTAATGAAGGGAGAGAATGTGGTGATATCTTGTTTGTACTCTAACAAATAAAGCTTGCCTGAAGATCAGAGGGCGCACCTAGCCACTAGCTAACCATAGAGGCCTGGAGGTCTGTACAGACAGACAGGAAGTGAGATGGCTGGGGGATATAGGCCGGAGGAGACAAGAACTCACTGTCTTTTCAGTCTGAGGATTTCATAGAGCTAAGAGCTCTAGCGTCTGGCTGCTCTGCTTCTCTCCTCTTCAGCTGTCACCCCCTTATATCTGACTCAGGGCTTTTATTTTTAAGACCTATTAGAACTCATGCCAGGAATTCCAAACAGGCTCTTTTCCCAGAGTCATATACCCATATACATACTATGTTCCCAAAATAAGACACTAGTATACAGATGTTACTCATACACAGTTGAGTCCAGGAGTAAATGTAGAACTTGATTCTGGAAGTATTTATGTGAGGTCACAGGATTAAAGAACAATAACCATGTGGCTGAAACTCAATGTTTCCGCACAGAGAGACACTGGAGCAATGACAAGCACAGGCTCCCTGCTGACAGAGCCCCCTGAGCTTCACTGCAGTTCATAGGTACTGCGTGGACCCGAAACCCCATAAAACAATGTCAGCAGAGACCATCAGGCCGGATCCCCCATGCACTGCTCCCCTTTGATGCCTTACCTTTTCCAGGTCTGCACAGCTGCCAAAGTCTTGCTCAGAGAGGTAACTGATGAGGGATTGTCCTTCTGATGGTCTTCGAAACATGCCTTCCCCTGAGCACAGGTCCTGAGTACCCTCTGTGGGAAATGGAGGAGGTGTAAAATGTCTGACCTGAGATGAAAACCTGTACCAGCCGTGTTACTCCTAAAGGCGCTCTCAGGTGTTCCCAGGTAATGGGGATCAGAAACTCAATAGAAGATGTCTATCTTCTAACGGCATCACTTAGACTCTTTAAGAGTCCCAGAGTACCAAATCTCTTGGATGGAGAATGGCAGAATAGAGATCCTAGAGACAGTCCTTTTGCTATGTAAAGTTATAGGTATCAGGTGGTTCTTCCTACTCCACTAGAAAGGAAAAGGGGGCTAACTCAGTGCTGAGCATTGGGAAAGGACATGAATCCTTGCACCTGCAAACCATTCCCATGTGGGACTTGTCTTCTGGGATCTATACAAAGACTCACTGTCAAGGCTCTCACTCACTCAGGCCACACCACATACGGTACAACAGACACACATGGAAGCGCCCAGAGCATAAGAGAGGGGGACTCCTAAGTCAGGGAGGACATGGGAAGTGCACTCTTAGTGTTGAAGATGATAGAAGGGCAGGTGAGGTCACACAGTGTCCTCCACAGAGTGAGCTGAGCTCCACACTCAGAGCCCCGCAGCAGACAGTTTCAGGCCTTGCTTTCCTGGTGCTCAGGCACCATACTCCATGCACAGGGAGCTGGGGGCGTTTGCTGAGTGCGCTGCTCTGACCAGAGGAGGGGAAGGGGCCTCTCAGATCCAATGTATCACTGCAAGACTCTCCTGTCAGTGACCAAACCAGGACAGGAAATAAAAACACACATACAAGCAAACAACAAATACATTCCCAACCCTGAAATTCAGCATTCAATTCTCTCAGGCAACAGGTGGCACACCAAAGGCAAACAGTCCAAGAACACAGAACACATGGAGGAGATGGGATATCAGTGGGTCTAAAGGGAAGAGACAAGGTTAAAAAAAGTAAAACAAGGTTTTAGTTTCCTTTTCTCCCATCTTCTAATCAAATGTTACAAAAGTATTAACTAATCACTACTTGTTTGTTTGAGACAGGCTTTCTCTGTGTAACATCTCTAGCTGTCCTAGAACTTTCTATGTAGACCAGGCTAGCCCTGAACTCACAGAGATCCCTCTGCCTCTGCCTCTGCCTCTCAAGTGCTAGCATTAAAAAGCATGTGCTTTACCATTGCCCAGCTTTAATCACTAATTCTTAACAAACTAGTTTTAAAAAGTTTTCAGATAGTAAAATAATAGTAATTACCAATAAACTTTTCCCAATATCTTGATACTATGTTTTAAAACACTATCAGAAAATTTATATTCACTGATGAAAATGAAACTCAGAAAAGCGCTCAAAAGCAACATCAAGTTAATTCTGGAGAAGCCAAGGATTTAGTCACCAGAGAAAAGGAGACATTTCCAGAGAAAGCCGATGCCGAGCATGGTGACACATGCCTGTAATCCTAGACTTGGAAAGCCAGGGGACAAGGATAACAGTGAGTTTTGGGGCCAGGACCAGTTACATAGTGAATTCAAGCCCAGAAAAATTCTGTCTCAAAAACAAAGGGGATAGAAAGGTTGGCAAATGGGTCATAAGATATGAAAAATTGATATCCAAAAGTAAATAAAAATTATTCAGTACCATAGTAAGAAAAGCAGTGGATGCCTGAGACATGAGCAGTATGTGCAAGGAAGAGCGAATGCCTAAGCCATATCCAACCGTTTCCCCAGGAAATAATGCCAGGTGTGAGCTCACACACACACACACACACACACACACACACACACACACACACCCCACACATACACCAGGAAATAATGCCAAGTGTCACCTGTCTCACACACACAAACACACACACACACACACCACACACATCAGGAAATAATGCCAACTGTCAGCTGTGACACACACACACACACAAACACACCCCACACACACACCAGGAAATAATGCCAAGTGTCACCTGTCTCACACACACAAACACACACACACACACACACACACACACACACACACCACACACATCAGGAAATAATGCCAACTGTCAGCTGTGACACACACACACACACACCACACCACATACACACACACCAGGAAATAATGCCAAGTGTCAGCTGTGACACACACCACACACCAGGAAATAATGCCAAGTGTCAGCTGTGACACACACACACACACACACACACACACACACACACACACACACACACAGAGTAATTTTGTGTTCTTGTGGCCCTGGCAGTAGGCTCTGCTCTGTCTACCAAGCTAAGGAAAAGCCAGCAATCACTACGATACCTTGATAAGAAACAATGGAAGAGACATCACACCATATAACCGTGTTCTTCGACTACATAAGCCTCTGGGCTTTGTACTGAGGTCACCGACTCCTGAGGCTGCCCAATCAACTGACTCAGCACTTCCCTTCACTCACTCAAAATCTGCCTTCTTTCACTTTTTCATCTCCTTCAGTTTCTGCAGATCTTCTTTAATTTTCTGTGACTTCCCCAATACTAGGAGGTTGTGGTCTCTAGACTTCCCTTACCACTGCTTTACTAACACATACCCACACATTAATAACTCCATCATTACAGTACTCACACTAGAACACAAATCTCAGTTTGAAAACCACCATGAGGGAAAAACAAAAAGAGAACAACAACAACAAAAACCAGATTTACTAGAAAAAAGGTTCAGTGACTAGTAAGGAACATACAAGTGCATAAGGGAATGAGGACTGATAAGGGGAAAAGGAAACAGGGACTCTTGGACAGGCAAAAATCATGCAAGTACATCCATGACCACATACAAGGAATAAAACACATCCTGGTGTTAAGTCAAGGAAAATAAAGTCATCTAAAGTCAGTCTTCAGGTAAGGAACATCCTGCCACTGAGCCATCATGAGGCCGCAGATGAACAGCAGGACAAAGCAGAATTGCTTTATATTGACTATGGCTTCCAGAAGCTGTTGGAGAATGAGCATGGCACGTGGAAGCATGTTTGGCACAGCATGTATCCTGCTGCCAATGGGTCCCAGCACCACGAAAGGATCAAAACTGGCCAGACTTGATTTGACACCAGACTGGAAAAGGAGGTTTTGAACTACACAAGGTGGTCACAGAGGGACAAGGAAGAAGAGGTGGGGACTGGCTCCCAAACCTGCAATGGGCTCTTCAACTATAATGGTGATATTCCTGGGGCCTCCTGCAGATAAACACACAGGTACAGAGGAGAATCCAGACAGAACAAACAAGATTAGAGAGAGAGAGAGAGGAAAAAAAACCAACCCAGTGACTTTTACCTGGCAGAAGCGGTGACACTAACTCCCAAGAGGGAACACTTGGGCTGCAGGCGGGGTGACTTGGACAAGAAGCTACAAGACCCATGCACAGACCTTCTGCACAGGTCTTCTCTGGGTCCCTTTTCCCATGCAGGTTACCATGTTTTCTGGAATCCACACAGATTCAAGAATGGAGCCAGGGAGGCTGGGAATGTGGCTCTGGAAAGCTCTTCCCAGCATGAATAAGGCCCTGGGTTCAATCCCTAGGCCACTTTTAAAAACAGAGTGGGGTGGATGTAGGGAGCAGGGAAGTGTTGTATGCTCTGAGGCCGGTGCCCTCGTGGAGAACAGGCTCCAGGACTACAGCAGATGGGACTGAGGGTCTAACCACAACACACTTTCCATGTGGGGAAGTTCATGGAAAGGGGCTTTGGCCTGGAAACTTTTCTCCTAAGGAGTTCAAGTAAGTCATGTTGAATCCTTAAAGGAAAACAGAAATCCAGGGTTTAGTTGAGGCCTTAAGTTTTCATCTTTCTAGAAATTATAGAGACAAGGGCAGCTCCAGTTGCCAAAGGAAATCTCTCATTAAACACTTTCTATTTTATCTTAATATTTTGTATCTGGGGTTTTTCTGACCCATAATAGCTTTGAGCACAAAAATTAGCATTATATTTGCAGATGCTACCAAGCAAAGCCTAGAGACACCAACTACCCAGGGAAGATGGTGGCAGGGTGATGCTGAAGCAAGGAGACTTACCTTCCTCATGTCTAGTTTGCTCCCCAATACTAGCTGGCATTCTGTGAGGGAGGGTACAGGGTGAATGGCCTCAGTCACCCCATCTACTTGGCCCAGGGTCACATGGCCCATCCATCCACACTCGCTACTACCCCTGTTATAACTAGGAAGCCTTAATAGTGCTCTGCCTCATCTTACATCCTCTTACACCTTTAAGGAATCACAACAGAAGGGTCATTAACAATACTATCTGTAAACCTCTTTAATGCCTTTGCTGAAGTCTGAGAGATTCAGTTCAAACATACTCTGTGATGCTCATACTATCCCAATGCTAAGGAACTATGGAAGAGTCAGGGAAGCAGTTAGTATTTAACACCATGTAAAAAAAAAAAAGACACAAAACATACTTGGGCTTCTTCAGTACTACATGCTAAATGTCTTTCATGACAGAGCAGAGTAACATGTCATCCAGAAACGGTTCTCCCTCTGCCATGTGAAAAGCCCTAGGAGCTTGGGAGCGAGCCCTCCCTGCAGCCCTGAATTTGGCGGGACGACACCCGGCTAACCAGTAGCTGGTGCTCTTTATTACCTGTGGCTCCTTTGGAGGCAATGTTGGTATCCGAATGGGAGCGAATATGGCTCTTCTTTGTCCCGCTGGTGACAGGGCCTGTCTGCCCTTCTGAGAAGCTGGACCTGCGAAGGACACTGCCTGGCTGACTCTGCCTACCTGCCTCTTGGTCCCCTAAAGAAGCAGCGGCAGAATCTGACTTCTGAGAGCTGCTGGAGGAGAACATGTGAGAGCTGCTACTCTCGGCGTTGCTGCTGTGGCTCTGACAACTGGCAGTCCGGGCACGGGGGTCTGGGTTGCCGATGGCCAGGTACTCGGGCCCCTCACTGGCATCACTTGGGGAGTCATTTTGGCTGCTGACCCAGGATGCCTCTATGGGGCTGGTTAAAGTGCTGGAACTCATCTCATGTGGGGTCAGTGGGGAATCCTGGCCTAGAGCTGAATCTGAAAGCAGTGGAGCTTGGGTGGTTTGACTCTCTGCTGATGAGAGGAGGTCTCTGTCTTCTTGAGGTTTCCAGGGAGGGCCAGAAAGTGAAAAGGAAGTGGATCTTCTCTCTAGAATATTAAAAAAAAAAGGTGGGGGGGTTAAGGGGAAAGAAAGGTAAGCAGGAGATGTATGGTGTGCATATCTGTCCCCAGGTATGGGTACCCAGGACACATGTCACTCAGAAGAGGTGAGTCAATTAGAGCAAAGCAATGATTTAGAGGCAGCTAAGGTGAGAGCATGGACACCTGAGATAGTAGCAGCTTCACTGCTCTTCAACATGAATCCCTCAATTGCAAAATGAGAGAAATAATGAGACTAGCAACCTCATAGGACTGTTTTAAGGATCAAATGAGGTAATACACACAAACTGTAACAAAGCCCAGCAGGGTGCCAACACTCTAAAGATGTTAGCAACAAAAGACCTTATTTGCTGTGCCAAGCAGCTGCTCCAAAGCCTCTAAAGACATCTCTTTGCTGTTACTTTGATAATGCTATAGAATTCTTTTAGGCTGGCTGTTGGGTAATTTTCTGTTTTATTTTGTGAGGCAGGGTCTCACTGTGTGGCCCTGGATGCCCTTGAACTTGTAACCATCTTCTTGCTTCTGTCTTCTGAGTGCTGGGATTACAGCCCTGCACCACCACGTCTTTGTAATAGGCATCATAAAAAGATAAATAGCTGTAGTTGTCCAGGCTCAACCCCCACTCCGTGGTCACTCACAAAGACTCTACTTTCCAGATGTGAAGATACATATAAGGACTGCCTGTTCCCACCCTTATACCTAAGGCCAGCCTGGGCTACCTAGTGAAACTCCCTCAATAAACAGAATAGAGCAGAATGAACAAATGAAAGGATGAGAAGGTAAAAACCAAAACCAACTAAACAAAAGCAGGTTCTGGCCTGTGAGCACTCACCAAAGCCCTCTATTTCCACGGCCTAAAATACACGCAGTAATGACACGTTATCTGCCCTATACCTGAGCTGTGGTGGGGCATGGACTGGTGCAGGTTAGAGGAAGACCCGAAGTAAAACTGCTGAGCACAGCTGGCTGGAGGGGTGTATGTGGAACCAGGCAGAGCGGTCAGACTCTGGCTCTTTGTAACCAGCAGTGGGCTCTCGTGCTTTCTGGCAAACTAAAACAAAAGAAAACATGTTAGAATGAAGCCTAGAGGCCCTCAGAGGAGGGGCATTCATTACTGCAGAAGTGCTGATAGGAGCTAGTATTCGACAGTACGCCTGGACTACTAGAACCAGCGGCTACCGCTAGCTGCCCTCTACTGGAGCATACAACACTGAAACTGCAGGGCTGCTGCATACTACAGCTTCTGCACTGGACCCTTGCAGGGTACCCTCTCCTGTGGGTAGCGCAACAAAGAACTTAAGAGTATGCACGGGAGGCTGGGAAGACGGCTTGGGGAGGAAATGTGCTTGCTGTGCAAGCACGAGGACTGGAATTCATAGCCCAATGCCAGTGTAAAATGCAGGTGGGCATGGCAGCCTTCACGGAAGCAGACAGAGGATCGCAGGAGCAAGCAGATTAATTAATTATATTAGCTATCAACACACTCCAGGTTCATCAGGAGACCACACCTCAGTATGTAAGATAGAGAGCAAAAAGGAAGACACACCCAATACCGACCTCTGCTCTCCACAGGCAGACAGATACACACAAATCCGAGTGCACATGCATGTGCATGTACATCCATACACACAGAACAGGTATACAAACATGTATATACACCACACATAAATACATACCAAAAACAATGCATGTGGAATCAAGAGTAAGACAGAGTGGTGATCTAAGCCACTGTGTCACTCACAAGCACCTGATCCAAGCTTTGGGAGAGAAGGCAGTATGTGTGGGGTCCGGTGACCTTTTCTTTTCTTTTTGACCTTTTAGACAGGGTCTTGCAATGTCACTTTGGCTGGCCTGGTACTCATGATGTAGCTCAAACTGCCCTGCCCTCAAGCTCATGTTTATCCTCCTGCCTCTTAAGACTCCCAAGTGCTGGGATTTACAATAGTGAGTTACTATGCCTAGTCCTGGCCCCTAGTGACTTCTTTTCTTACTTTCTTCTTTTGTGGGTAGGTCATGTATTCATACATGTGCATGTGTGTTCACCTGTGCACAGACATGTGGGGGCCAGAGGTCAATAGTAGGCATCTCCTTCTATCACTCACCACTTTCCTTTTGAGACAAGGTCTCTCAGTGAACTTGGGGCTCACCAGTTCACCTTTCCCTGCCGTCCTCTTCTACTCCCCTTACCCTACCCCTCCTGTCCTCTTTCCTTTCCTCTTTTTATTTTTATTTTTTAGGACAGGATCTCATAGTCTAAACTAGCTTAAAACTTATTATATACTCCAGGCTGGTCTCAAACTCCCCCCCTTCTGCCCCAACCTCCCAAGTGCTGGGGTTACAGGTGTCAACTTGACACAGCTAGAGTTATCTGGGAGGAGGGAATCTCAACAGAGGAAATGCCTCCATGAGGTTGGCCTGTAGGATATATAAGCCAAATAAACTGCTGCTTTATTTCATCAATAGAGAGCAGACTCAGACAACAGTCACTACTACCACATCCAGCTCTTTCCAAGTATTTTAAAGTGAGCCTTTCATCTCCCAACTGCCTCAGTGAGGAAGTCATGTGCTACTGAGGAGTGTAGAGCATAGTGAAGGGCAGAGGCCCAGGACAGACGTGGGGAACTCTCTGCCCCCTTTACCATAGATGCATCAATCTGAGCCAGGAGACGGGGGTTGTTCTGTTCCACTGCTTCCAGACACTGGAGCATGGCTGTGACGTGGGCGTCACTCAGCAGGAAAGCAGTTTCTAGGAAGAAAAACGTTACCACAGTGATGCAGAAAGAAGCTCAGAGAAAGGCACAGTTATCTCACCACCCAGCTCTGGGAGCAGCTGCAAAGAGGGCAGTGCAGTGACCAGCACATAGGAAACTCAATTCATGGCTTTTTTTCTTGGTTTGCGGGGATCAGACAGGAACATCTTGGCATGGGTGTTTTTCATGGGGGGTGAGAGGAAGCCTGGCTGTGTGATTCTGAGTAGAGCCTAAGGCATCAAGTCAATTTTAGAAGACCCTGGTGTAGAGCCATCTACAGAAGAACCGAGAGAGAAAAGTTCACAGGAAGTACTCACGAAGCCCCGGGGCGTTTCTACTTACCTGTGTAGAATTTTCTGATATACTGTCTATCCCCGAGCAGAGGCCGGAGCTGGGCTGAGAGGCAGTGGCACTGCAGGCTGTGCTGCAGCCAGAGCTCTGCAACAGTGCGGTCGCTCACGTCAGCACTGCTCTGGCCATTCTCATGCAAGCTGATGAACTGGGGAGGCAGGGAGGCAGGAGTCAACACATATCCTGGCGGTATAGCGCTGCTGAACCCGAGAACTACACTCAAGACAGGCCAGGGAAGGCTACCCAAGGTGTCTCCTCCAGCTAGCTCCCAGGAGATACAGCAGGAGGACAGTGGGAAGATAAATGGTCTTTTTATTCTACCAGACCTCAGGAGAAGCAGGCCTGCTAAGTTTGGCTCTTTATGTTCTATGTCCAAAGAGGTATCTTTAGGATATTCACAGAAAGGGGTCAAAGGCATCAAACCTCCTGGCTTCTTTATAGAGTCCTCTATTTCAGAGTCTCCAGAGAGAAATATGGTTTAAAAAAATAAATCTTGGCATGTGTGTATGTGGATGGGTTGGTCTAGGGGAAAAAAAAAAAAAAAAGACCAAAAATTCACTTTAAAAAATTTTTTTTCTCAATGTGTGTGAGTGTTTTGCCTGGATATGTTTGTGCAGCACATGGAGCCAGTGCATGCAGAGGCCAGAACAGGGCATCATATCCCCGAGGACTAGAGTTTGGGTGGTTGTTAGTCATTATGTGGGTGTTGGGAATTGAACCTGGGTCCTCTAGAAGAGCAGCCAGTGCTCTTAACCACTTAGTTAGCTCTCCAGCCTTAAGATTCTCTTAACAGAAGCCATCTGAACACCGTCTTTTGGTTGTGGCCCTAACAGTCTCTCTTTGGAACTGTCTCCTCCTCCTTCAGGTTCTAAGAACAAGGTCTCAATGGCAGGGCTGGTGCAACAAATCGCATGAACAGCAGTGTCAGGAAGCTCCTCGGGGAAGATGCTACAGCACCACATGTGAGGTGCGAGAGCACACACCTGTTAACCAGTGCACAGGAAGCTAAGGGAGGGTGACTGCACACTCAAGGGCAGCCGGGGCTACCTAGTGAGACTATCTCAGTAAATACAACACAACAGAATGAATGGAGGAAGGGTGAGGAGGTGACAGAAAACAGCAGCCCCTGGCCTTCTCTCATACACACAACGGCCAGTTCTCTGGATGTTTGGGGGAAAAAGTATACTTCTTGACCTCATCTTAGCAATAAATCAACAGCTGGGACACACAAGAAACAAGGCAGGCCATACAAAGAAAGAGGGACGATGGATGGCTACTTTTGGAGTCATTTCATTAATCTAATTTAGATGCATTTAATTTTCCATACAATTGTCAGTCTAGAACCAGCAGTGTGTCTGTGGTCAAGTCACCTGACTTCGTTGTGCTGTTTCCCGGACTGGAAACCTGGAGCAGTGTGTAGACCTGGAGACATGAGAATCCAAAGCAGCCAAAGCCTTTAAGGTAGCATTCAGTCCAGTGGCCTCTGGCCTCCAGAAACTGCTTCCTCCCTCAAGCACCTTCTTCAATAGTTGGTGCATGAGCCATACCTCCCCTAACTTCTTTAGGGAAATTCTTGCCATCCATTTGTCCTAGCTTTTTTATTAGACCATTTTCTCCCATTTCCCAAGAGATGAAAAAGCAACCTGGACTAATGGACGTGGTTGGTTCACTCTCCCTCTAAGTAGTGCTACAGAGATAAGCTCTTCCCTCCAGTTAAAAGAAACTGGACACACCCCATCTCAGGGAGAACACTCTTCCAACCGTGCACCAGTGAAGACTTGCAGCCACACCCCAGCAAGCCAGCTCTCCTTTCACTCTTACCTTCTCAACATGAAGGGCCGAGTGCGGACTGAGCCACCGAATGTCTTTCACAAACTGCCAGTAATCTGCCTGTCGGCAACATACCTGCCAAACAAACACCAACATGATGAGCAGATCCCGACTGCTGACAGCAAAAGGGAGAGTAACAAAAGCCAGACATAGTGGCACACCTCTGCCTGAGAGGTGGAGGCAGAGGATCTTGAGTTCAAGGCCAGCCTGTGCTATATAGTGAGACCCTATCTCTAAAACAAGAAAACAAAACAGAGGCAGAGGGGTAGGAAAGAGGAGGAGGGAAAAAGGAAGAGGGAGAGAAAATGAGAATAACCTTCCTACACTTCAACAAAGGCTGCCAGCAGCAAGCATGAAAATATATACATGTTTATTCTTTTAAAATGATTTAAATTGCTCCGGTGTGGATGAGCGCATGTGTGTACCCATGGGTACACTGGGTGAAGTTTCTTGGGAGCATCCTCCACCTTGGTTTCGAGACAGTCTCACACTGGAACTCATTTGGCAGGCTAGACTGGCTAGCCAGTGATTCCCAAGGAGCCACCCAACTCCCGCACCACCAGCACTGGGTTACAATGAGTATCACCACACTGGCGTTTTAACACACTCACGTCTCGCGCTTGTGTGGAAGCACTTCACTGGCTGATCCCTAAACTGTTCTAAGTACGTATTAATGCATATGATATAAAAGGTATGCAGGGAAGATTATCTGTCTTCTATTCCTTTTCTTTTCACCATTCGGTTTCCTATAAGGTAATTCTTAAAACAAGTGCAGTTAGTTGCAAAAAGAGGTGAAAGTGTTATGAAATAAGTAAACACTTGGTTTTGCTATACATGTTGTCTTAAAAAAAAAAAAAAAAAAAAAAAAAAAAAAGGCTGCATTTTAGAGACCTTGATAGAATGAATGGTTTTACACTGTTAGAGGCCCTGACACAACAACAAAATATTTTCTATAATGAAAACCTAATTGTTTTTTGGGACCCCCCCCCCATGGTGGTTTGCATAGGTATGGTCCCCATAAACTATGTGTTTGAATGCTTGGCCCATAGGGAATAGCACTATTAGGAGATGTGGCCTTGTTGGAGGAAGTGTGTCACTGTGGGGGTGGGCTTTGAGGTCTCATATGCTCAAACTTCGTCCAGTGTAGATGGACAGTTCACTTCCTTTGCCTGTGGATCCAGATGTAGAACTCTCAGCTACCTTCCCAGCACCATGTCTGCCTGTATAATGCCATGCTTCCTGCCATGATGATAATGACTAAACCTCTGAACTGGAAACCAGCCCCAATTAAATGTTTTCCTCCTTTGTAAGAGTTGCCAAGGTCATGTTGTCTGTTTACAGCAATAGAAACCCTAATTAAGATACCCCCTTCTGAGATTATTGGGCAGGAGTTTGAATTTAGGTTAAACAGTCTTTCTTTTTTTAACTGTTTATTTTATGCACACTGGTGTTTTGCCATGTGTGTCAGGCCCCCTGGAACTGGAGTTACAGACAGCTGTGAGCTGTCATGTGGGTACTGGGAATTGAACCTGGATCTTCTGGAATATCAGCCAATGCTCTTAACTACTGAGCCATCTCTCCAGCCCTTAAATAATCTTTCAAACAGAACTGGCACAAATATAAAGAGACAAACCAACTAATAGAACAAAATAAATAGTTAGAAAGAGACCTTAAAAAATATCAGAACTTAATGTGAGATTCAAAAAGCATCTCAAAAAATCAATGATAAAGGAGGAGACTGTGGATTAGAGAAGTGTGCTTGTTGGTGTGAGCAAAGCCCTGGGTTCCATTCCCAAGGATGGAAGAAGAGGAGGTCAATGGTAGGAACCACTATAAACTATTATGTATCAATTCACTGGAAAACCTGTAACATTAGCTAATTTTCTTAACATTTCATTTACCAAAACTGAACTTTGAGGACAGAGAAAACCTGAATAGAGCAATGAATGACACTATTTAAATCACTGATAAGACACAGATGGCTCCACTGATAAACTACCAAAGCTCTAAAAAACTGTTATATCAAAGCCAGACAAAGATGCAACAAAAAATCATTAGTCAAAATCCCCAGTGAACATAAATACAAAGCTTCTCAGCACAACACTATCAAACAAGCACATTAAAAAGACTTCACACAGCCAACAAGTTGGATCAGTGGGTAAAGGTGCTTGCTACCGAGCCTGCCAACCTGAGTTTGAGCCCCAAAACCAATATGGTAGAGAAAGAGAGAATCAACTCTCTGAATGCACCCCCCATAAATAAATACTTGTAAAAAACTATTTTAAAAGATTATATGATCTACAGAGCAAGCCTTATAGCTAAGGCTCAGGGAACACGATGGAAGGGCATAAGGAGGATCAGGAAACATGTAAGAGCCAGAGGACTAGCTCTAACAATGTGGTTGTCTAAGCAAGACCTGCACAAGGACATCGGCTGAAATATCAGTGTGGAGGGGAGAATTTCACAGGGCCTCAGTCCTAGGTGAGGAGCTATAGATAATCATAGCTACTGAAAGAGTGCATATCATTCTTCTTTAGAGGTTTGTATACAAGACACGAACATACTGTAGCCACTATTTTACACTCTGCTCTTTTCATTTAACATATCTTGTAATCGATCCCAAAGCATGACTTTAAAATGTTACATTTATTTTGTGTGTGTGTGTGTGTATCGCTCAAATTCTTGCAACAGTACATGTAGAGGTCAGAGAATAACTCTGTTGGTCCCTCAGGTTGTGAGGCTTGGCAGAAAGCACTTTTACTCATTGAGACATCTTGTTGGCCTTTAGTTATTGTTTTAATCATATACATATTCAATATAAATGTATACACACACACACACACACACACACACACACAAATAAATAAATAAAATCAGGAGCTGAGCACAGTGTCCATTCCTATAAATGTAGCACAAAGGAGACAGGAGGATCTCAAGTTGGAGGTTAACCTAGGCTACATAGCAAGACTGTGTCTCAAAAACACAAAACCAAAACAAAACTGAGGACACATAACAAGAAGTTATTTATATTTACTTTTGTAATATACTAGCTTCTGGATGGAAGCTAGTAACAGGTAGTAACTTATATCAGAAGACAATCAAAGAGAGACTTTCCACTATATGGTTTTAAACTCAAATGTGTTAGCCAAGTAACCATGTGAAGTATATTATCTGTGCAAAAATTAAACATTCATTTTAAAGTAACTTACCTAGTGATACACATGGTACAATCTTTACTACTTTAAAAGGCATAATATAAAAATTTGAATATAAGAAAAAATAAGAACATCTAATGGAATGCTAAACAGTATTTTTACTTGTTATTAAAACTATGGGTGATATTTATTTTTCTGAGTCTTTTTGGCATATGTGAAAGTTTCAACAAATAAGAATATATCATGCATATTTTTAAAACATAGGTTTTTTTCACTATTATTATTTTAAAAATCAGGGCCACTTAAAAAAAAAAAAAAAATCAAGGCCAGGCAGTGGTAGCCCCTGCCCTTAATCTCAGCATTCAGGGGGCAGAGGCAGGTGGATCTCTATGAGTTTGAAGCCAGCCTTGTCTACAGAGTGAGTTCCAGGACAGCCAGGGCTGCACAAAGAAACCCTATCTTGAAAAAAAAAACAACAACAAACAAACAAACAAAATCAGGCTGCCTTGGGACTAGAGAGATGGCTCTGAGGTTAAGAGCACTGGTTGCTTTTGTAGAGGACCTGGGTTTGGTTCCCAGAACCTACATGGTAGCTCACAACTGCCTGTAACTCCAGTTCCAGGGCATCCAAGGCCCTCTTCTGGCTTCCATGGGTACCAAGCATACACATGGTGCACATGTATACAACATGTAGATAATATACTTGGACACATTAAAACGTTTTATTGGACCTACATTGCTAAGCACAGTTTCTTCTTGGAGCTAGAGTTGGGCATCCTTTTACTCCTACTCAACTGAGCCAGTTTGGGAACTGTCACCACATTTCTAAACAGCAGAACAGAGATGGCGTCATCATGTCCTGACTTACAAAAGTGGTAAAAGGTGTCCCAGATGAAGGCTAAGGAAAATGGTTCCCTCTAAGAAAATGGTCATGACAGCACAGCCTCTCAGGGGCTAGGAGTGATTAAAACAAACAGAACTCACATCCTTCTGAAAACAAAGGGGAGATAAAGCCAACATGAATCATCATGTCCCTTCCCTTTTCCAAGGACACGCACCCAGAATAGCTTCCTGATGACACAGCAGCCTGAAACCTTTGAAAGCACTAAACTTTTTGGAAAGAAACAACAGGGAGAGAATTCTGACATCAACTTTAATTCTTAGACCCTAAAAAGGCACAAAGCAGCTTTTATTTCTGTGGGGTTTTTTTTGTGTCCCCCCACTAGAGCCTGCATGTGCTGTAGTGTGTCTCTGTGTCAAGTGGTTGTCTCTGCTTTCACTTCCTGGCACTAGCTAGTTTTGTTAGTGGTCACACACACTCTTCGGTATTTTCATTCTGAAGAACAGGTGCTTCCATAGACACTACTGTTTCTGAGAACTTGACAAGATATGTTAGTAGCATTTTGCATTTGCAAGCTTGTTTTATTTGAGAATCTCTTCAACATTTCTCCTTTTGTGGCACATACAGATGGCGAAACTATCATGTAATCTGGTTAGGTTACTATGTGACCATGTAAAATTAGTAACAGGGCCTAGAAAAGAACTTTTGTTATCAAGACAAGACTACTTTAACCACTGAAAGGCAGTACTGCTGGTCTGGCAGCTATTTTTGGTCACCAGCCTGGGAAACTTGCACTTTGTTTTTAACAAAACATTTTGGCACTGATCCCAAATTTCTGAACGGAACACTGCGTAGTTCAATACTACAAATTAGCATAGAGAACACCAAGATAAAAGGCAATCTCCTGAGAGAAAATATATTTAGTTTTGGCTGTGCTTGTTGGGTAGGAGAGAGAGCCACATTATAATATAGAGACAGCTGGCCTAGACCTGGAACTCAGCGCTGAGGTCTGAGCTGAGTGTCACTGATGCATGGGTGAGACCGAGACTGCTTCAAGAAAACAGAGTAAGGAGACACAA